GTTGGATTCGGCGCGTTCTCGGCTGTCAGCCGCGTTTGGGCGGCCCGCGCAGCGCCGGTGCCCTCGGCACACACCGCAGAAAAATCGGGACCAGATTCTGCCGAAGAAGGAGAAACACCTTTTCGGTGCAGGGGGCCTGGGAGGAACGGGGCTGGCTGGCCGCGCGCCTCGGCGGTGCAGGCGGCAGAGCCGGCCTCGGCGGGGCCCTGCAGACCGGGGTGAGCCGGTGCGGGGAACAGACGCGGTGCCAAAATTCGCACATAACTGTTGACGGTGAAAGCTAGCAGCCGGAATGGTTTTCCACCCTGCGTGAGAGGTTTCCTGCTTTGAAGCTGTCGTGACCAGCGGGTATGGTCACCTGAGGACAGGCTGAAGTTTGGAGGTGTCCTCTGGTGAACGGTTCGTAACTTGAGGAAAACGGGCAATGAGGAATATAGGCTCAGCTCACAGTTTCACGCTGACTTTCTGCTGGACTGGTGATACTCTGTCAATAATAGCCTTTTAAGTAATTACAGAGCACCTTGTGTATTTTTGAGCCATGCGGAGGGATTCTTCTGTCACTAAAATGTTGCCACTTAAAACTCACGATACAATCTCTGCAGTACAGACAGGCAGATGAAAGAGGATGTAGTATGAAATAAAATTTAGAGGTGAATATAGGGAAACCAACACTCTGGGTGCAAAGGGCAAGGTGTATCAGCGGTGAAATGGAGTGCTAGCACAGCTGTATTGTGTCTCTGTGAAAGGGTCGTTAGAGCATCCCTCCTGAGTCTGACTGGGTTTTCGTTCTATCTTTTTTCTGGGATCTGTCTCCTAATTTTTAACAAGTTCTCATTGTGAGGGAATTGGTTTGACCTGGGGGCTGAGCGAGGTACTCCTGCAAAGTAAGTACTCTGCTTATGAAAGACATAGATCATAAAAAGTTTTCAGTAATTTACAAAAACGTTGTCAAGGGGAGCACTGGTGTGGGCATCTTCACGAAGTCTCCATATGCTTCTCCGTCTGTCAGCCTGTCTAGGGGACTTTGTGTCTGATGAGGTTTCCTAACAAAATGCAGCTTACTGTTGGTGCCTCGTGAGATGGGGGTTGTCAAGCCATGCAGCTACAGTTATGAATTGCTTGTTGTTCTCTCTCACGTGGTATGTATCTTGGTCTGAAGTGGAGCAGTCTCAAGGAAACCTATGGTAAGTGCTAGTAATGCTTCAGTAGATGTCTTCTGTCTTCCAACCTTCCTTCTCCCCCTCAAGCCACAAATACAGTCAGGTTACTCCAGCTGCAGTCTTCTGTGAGGTGCTTGGCATTCAGTTTTGCATCAAGCAGTGTCTCTCTTTCGACGCTTGTGTGGAACCGAGATCATTCTGTGTAGGGTGTCATACCACCATGCTTAACAATCTTGTGTGTCAGCATGGCAGTAAACATGGGCTTATGGAGTTCTGCTTTTGATAATAATTTGGGGTATGCAGCAAAGAATAGTGTTGCGTAGACTAAAGGTTACAGGAAGAAAAACTGGTGCACGAAATGCACCGGAGGAAGCAGCAGAAAATGGGAGTTTGTGGGAGTTCTGTACAGCCAAAGCAGCACAACAGCTGGGAGTCTTTTCCCCAGGGAAACTGTAAGAAAAAAAAAAGAGGTTTGGTTTTTTTTACTGCTGTGCAGCTGTGAGGGTTTTCCTGAAGAGGTGTGGGGTGATGCGGAGCCATCCTTGTGCAGCAGCCACCTTTGGTCTGTGGGCAAGAAAGCCTAAAGAAAAGGTCAGACCTCACGAGCTGTTTCCATTTCTGGCAACAAGAGGCAAGAAGTCACATGTGGTTCATTAATTCAGCTGATCTGTTGGCATCTATCCCAAGATGGTATTTTGGAACCCATTTGGCTGTTGTACCCACCACAGTATGCGCGCTTTGGTTTCAGAAGTGATTCTGATGAGACCCAAGGAGGCTGCTTGGTACTTGAATGCTGTTAATCTCTGAGAGAGGAGTAGCAGTGCTGAGGGTGGCTTGTGGGGTAGGTGTCATCTTCTCAGGAATTAGTTTGAAACTTCAGTTTCTGTACTGAAAAATGATACCAGCTTCTGGTTCCAAGCATATTTGTTGCCAGCTGACCTCATCCAGGCGTTCCACTTGTGTAGTCTGAGCTTCAAAACACATTCTTAGGGTGCTCCAGTAAAGTCTTATGGAAATAGAACCATCGAGAAGCAGATGCTCAGACCCTGTCCTTGGAACAGCAAGTCCCTACTGAATTCAGGAATGTAAATAGGAAGGAAACCAAATTCAGTCACCGTGAAAACAATTTTTCATTAAGCCTTGGCCTCAGTACAGGCAGCAGGAATGGTAGGATCTGTACCGAAAGGTGATTTTACATTGCAGCAGGGTTCTGGATCTGCAGCCAAGCCACAGCTTTGCGTTATTGTAAACTTAAACTGAGGTCGTGATTCATCTTGAATTTAGCTCAAGTGAATTTGCAGATAAATGTAAAGCCATTGCTGTTATGGGAACTCCTGGGAGCTGTGACATGTCTGGCTGCTAATCGTTTTAAATATTTCAGTCTTAATCCCAGGTGATGGTAGTCAGTGCCTAGGTAACCGAGATAGAATCTATTGACATCTCATTTGTGAAAGATGGAGGGAGATGTGCCTATAAAATGTACACGCCTCATGTCAAGAGATGGAGAGAAAAGGTTGTAGCTAATATGAAGGTCTCACTCGATATGAGGAATGTTGAGAAATTGCTTGAACTTCAGTAAATGAAATTAAGCAAAGTTTTCTTACTCAGCCATTTTATTCTGAGCTATTTTTCTTCCAGACGCCTACTCGTGATGATTCCGCCATCTGCAACAACCCCTGTCAGCGATGCTGCGCTCTTGCCAAGTGTGGCTTCTCAGGAAATCTGGAGGTCACAAGTTCCAGGCTATTCTGGATCAGTCACACGGCACATAAGTCATCGGGCCAACAACTTCAAGAGACATCCGAAAAGGAGAAAACGCATTCGTCCTTCGCCACCACCACCGCCAAATACTCCATGTCCTATTGATTTGATTGACTTTGGGGATCTCCAGCCTCAGAGGTCTTTCCTAGAACTCCTCTTTAATGGGTGCATTCTCTTTGGGCTCGAGTTCAGCTATGCCATGGAAACAGCCTATGTTACTCCTGTGCTGCTTCAGATGGGGCTTCCAGACCAACTGTATGGAATGGTGTGGTTCATCAGCCCTATATTAGGTAGCTTTTCATTGTGCTATTTCTTCCCTCTTGTTTTTTCCACCTCAACTGTTCCCAAGATTATTCTGTGTGCTCTTGAGGTTAAGGAGCACTAGCTAGAATTTTAGACAATGGAATGATTAAATATTCTTGCTGTGTCTTGCCTGAAATGGGCCAGGTGTGATCAAAAGTTCTGTTCTTTTCGTGGCTTCTCAGCCTCTTACATATTGTGTGAGGGCAAGCTTTGATTACTCTGTTCCTATGTGTAAAAACTAGCAAAAGAGGATCAGGGTATCCATTTATGTCTCTATGAATAAAAGCATACAGAGGCAGTTCCCACGGGCATGTGAAAAAAGCAGAGTAGGATTACCTTCTCCTGTTTAACTTTCTGAAACAAATGAAGTGTTCCAGTGGTGAAAGACCACTGACCGCTACTGTTATGGTTATTGGATTACTCGCGTTAGTGCGGAGGAGGGGCTGGGAGCACATCCGTTACTATGGGCAGAACCATAGGATGGGCTATCAGAAACTTTGTTCTGCCTGTTCTTGTACTCGTGGGATGTACTTCAGAACAAGAGAGTGGCTAGCCCTCTGCTCAGAGGCTGGCCCAGAGTAATACAAGCATCTTTCCAACTCGCATGTTTGCTTCTTGCTATCTTCCAAGCTAACTCTGCAGGGGACATCCCATTTAAGACGGGGTAAATGAAATAGCTTGTAAGGAACAGGGCGCTTTAGAACGTTTAACTGTCGCACTCTTACTCTTCACCTGAGGTCAAATTCTGCTGTGTTAATGATGCCACCTAAGCAGCGGCACATTGCATTATTCAGTCCCTGACCCGAGAAAAGCTAAGGCAGTACACTGCATGCACACCTGGGTGACTGGTACCCACTGGGGATATCACTGTGCCATGGTGTCCTGCCTTCAGCTGCCTTTTAAGGTACCTATTTTAACTTCCCTGTGAAACAGGCTTGTAGCAAAATGCTACTTATCGGTGATTCCTTTTTCCTAGGATTCTTGCTACAGCCTTTGCTGGGGGCCTGGAGTGACAGATGCACATCAAGATTTGGGAGGAGAAGACCCTTCATTCTGGTCTTAGCAGTAGGTACGTCTTTTAGAAACAATGGGTGTAATGCATGTAAAGTAGAAACACAGCACATCTGTCTCTTGTGACGTTCCCTGGGGTACTAGGCTGAACAAAATGTCTCTGAAGCGTTGGGTATTGTGGGTCTGAAGAAAGCGGTGAGCAGCACTGAGGCGATGCTTTGGCAGCTGGAGATCTGTACGTAAAAGCTTCTCTTGTCAGAGTCTGAAGAGATGATATTTTGAGGGTCAAGAATGTGTGTTTTTGACCCAAAACAACTCCAGACACTTGTAAAGTTGAACAGCGGAAAAGGATTACATATATCCTATAGGTCATGCTCATTCCCCAGACTGGGGTGATCTGAACAAGACCAGTAGTGCTCACTGCAAGGCTGTACAGGTAGTATAATGCTTTTAGAGTGTGATGGAGCAATGCAGGGTTTTTTTGCTTACAAACCATCAATTGATTGAATGTGATTTGGTTTTATTCCCAGGAGCATTGCTTGGGCTCTCGCTTATGTTGAACGGCAAAGATATAGGGAGTGCCTTGTCTGACACTGCAAATAACCACAAATGGGGGATCATTCTTACGGTCTGTGGTGTTGTCCTCATGGACTTCAGCGCAGATTCAGCAGACAATCCCAGTCATGCCTACATGATGGATGTGTGCAGCCCAGTGGATCAAGACAGGGGCCTCAACATCCACGCTTTGTTAGCAGGTATGCTTTCTTGGTGCTTCCCAGGTGATGTCAACGCTAAGTAAACAAGCCCTCCTGTGAGAAAGCAGAGTGTAGATCACTGGCCTTTTCCTGTATAAGCATAATAACCAAATATCTGGAGAGGTAGCACTAATTAACTTTGAAAACAAATTTCTGCTTACTGCAAAAGGCTTTTGTCACTACCAAACAAAACACAGTCCTGGGCTGTTGATCTGAAGGTCCTGCACATCCTTTATATGACCTGTGGAAACAAAATTATCCCTCAAGAGAGGAGGTTTGGCTTCCTGCAGCTGTGGAAAAAGCCTTTTTTAGTTACTTTGTTGGAGGGGAAAGCGCATACTGGGTGCTGTGATCCCTCATCGCCGTCATCTTCAATTGCTGTACTGCCCTAGTCTAGGTTTCCTCTCTGTCAGGAGACTGTTTCATGCTCTTGAATATGTTTGTAAGAAAGAAAGGATAGCATTGCAAGGCTTTCAGCACATGAACGGAGTGAGAGAGGTATCTGGTGCCCTCAGAACTTCCATGTTCATCATTAGTAGTGCAGTGGCAGTTTTGTACGCTGTCGGCATGTAGCTGAGTAATGAGCTTGCTATGCTTCTGAAGTGATTCGGTCTGTCTTGGACGCAGTTAGATCTGCGTTCCTCTAACTGAGTGAGGAAAATGGATTTTCACTTACTTTCAGGAAAACAGTCTTAGCTGACTGATTGCAGAGCCTTGCCACGAGGCTGGTGGACACTTCCGTTTTACGGACTGAAATAGCTGAAGGTAAAGTGGTTTGTTCTTGACAAAGAAAGAACTACCATTTTTGATTATTTGTATCATCACTTCTACAGCACTGACCTTCTCCCTCTTTCTGTACCGTGTTTGTACATCCAGACTGTCCTTGTGGCACAGATAACTGTGTTTTTTACTTAATTTAAATTGAAAAGGGGTTGATTAGTAAAACAGAGGTGACACATTGTATTCTATTCACAAATCATTAGACAAATGATGGTGTGCTGTTACAGACTTGCAGCATTGGCTAGGGAAGATAATCTCAGCTTTGTTTTTCCACCAGGTCTTGGAGGTGGCTTTGGTTATGTTGTTGGAGGAATACACTGGGATAAAACCAGTTTTGGAAAAGCTGTGGGAGGGCAACTTCGCGTCATCTATATCTTCACCTCAGTTATACTGACTATCACTACTGTGCTGACTCTAATTAGCATTCCAGAAAGACCCTTAAGGTCCTTTAGCAGGAAGAAAAAGGTGATGAAGAGTCCAAGTCTTCCCCTCCCTCCTTCTCCACCTTTCTTCTTTGAGGAGGGTGTAAATGAAAGCATTGCTTCTCATAACTCAGCTCATTTATATTCAAGTTTTACGAGTCCCGTTTCCCCCCTCAGCCCACTCACGCCCAAATACGGCAGTTTTGTCAGCAGAGACAATTCCTTGACAGGAATTAATGAGTTTGCATCATCATTTGGGACTTCAAATATTGACAGTGTGCTTATAGACTGTTTTACAAGCGGGCACAGTAGTTATTTAGCACTTCCAGCTAGCTTGCCCAGGCAGCCTATCAGTGTCAGCTTCCCTCATGTGCCTGATGGCTGCTACCAAGGAGAAAACGGAGTTCTGGAGCAAGGGGAGAGCAGCATAATGCCAGGGCCTGACGGCGAGGCCCTAAGGGTGGGCTCACTGGATGCGATAAAGCCACGGTCGCCAGGGATCCTGAAAAGACCTCAGACCTTGGCCATTCCAGATATCGTAACGGGACACTGTCCAGAAAATAGCAGACGAAGAAATGTAACCTTCAGCCAACAGGTAAGTGTGGAACATCAATGATATGACCGTGTAAACCTGAGCATTCATTTAATCTCTTCATATAGTTTTAAAAGTGCAGTGCACAAATCCGTCCTTAAAGAATGCTCGTGATAGTTTGCTTGTAAAAGTCACGGTGGGAACATAGTAGGTATGACTTGATCGGTAAAGTAGCGGGTAGGATGTGAATTATGACTGGCAGTCTGTCAACCACTGTTGTTAAGATGCCAGAAGTGGGAGCGTTCTACTATCACCAGGCCACACGTGAAACTTAGGTTGGTATTTTTAGCTCTGCTTCACCACCCAGGGAGCTACCACATGAGAGCAGAAAAAGACACGTTTCTATTGAGACTGTATCTTCCCTTTCCACAGAAATACCTGCAAGATAGGGCCAGGGATAGGATTCTCCCATGAGCTTCTCCTTATGGCAGTCATTACATCTGGTTCCATCAGGGAGGTGAGGTTTCCCTTACCCAGGGATAAGACTCTGACCTCACCTCCCACTGTTGGTGATAACTTGGAATGTCTGAGACCTCTGTATGCTGGCCCATTTTTTTTGATCCAGGATGAGGTAAACTGTCCTCTGTTGTTTTTTGGTTTGGGTTTTTTTGGGGGGTGTTTGGGTGGGTTTTCTGTTTGTTTTGTATTCTTTGTTTGTTGCTGTTGCTGTACTTTGACCCAGTTTGTGAGAGCAAACTTCATTAGGGCCAGGATTTTACATACTGTGCACGTAGAGATCAAGCATCAAGGTTAGCAAGCAATGAGAATGTATTTCAGTTAAAACCAGGCTCTTCTTTACTGTTGTCTTTAAAACTTCAGGAACCAAATTCACCTGAACAGCTCCTATTAAATGCAGTGGGGTTTATGCCTTCCCTATGCCAGCATCTGGATGTGGTTGCCAAATGAGAAGTGAAGAATACTGTTTCAAGTATACTGAAAGCTACAGCATGGTGCTGCCATTTAACACTTGTTCCAAGGCTGAACTTACAGCTTAGCTAAATACACTGTTCTTAAAGTCCAGGTCAACATACTGCAGCAGCAGAGTTTAACTTGTTTAACTAGTTGTGTGATATTGTATAGGTTTGCTCAAAGGATGTTTGAGGTTTTTCTGACTGTGTTTGTTGACCTGGGAGTTCTTATGGTACAGGTTGCTAATATCTTGCTGAATGGTGTTAAGTATGAGAGCGAGCTGAACGGATCAGGCGAGTCCTCTGAGCAACCACTCTCCATGAAACTTCTTTGTTCGACCATCTGCCAGATGCCCAAGGCTCTTCGTAACCTCTGCATCAACCACTTCCTAGGTATTCAAAAAGTGCTGTCTTGCTTTCACCGTGAAGTAGTCTACCTCAGGTGAATGTTTTAAAAGATTTTATCTATTGCTGCAGTGGCTGCTAACTAGAGAGGACATGATTTGTTTCATATACACTCACCAATAAGGTACTTTTCTGGTATTTAGTTTCTTAGAACAATGAGAAAGGAAAAAACAAAAAACCCACAACAGTAAAGCCTACATTCCTAGAAAGGGTATAACAATAGCCTAAATCAGTGCAACTGTTAAATGGAATGTTCACACTGGTATGAGAAATGACATTGAACTTGAAACTTACGGACTTTTTTTTTTTTTAAAAAACACTCTGAAACTGGCATTTCTGAGCAGAGAGACAAGATTAGTTGTATTTCCCTGCTTACAACCAAGACGGGCATTCACTTTCCTCCCCTTGACGGCATGTGTGTAGGGGTCCCAGAACAGGCTGTGAGGAGGCGCGGAACACCACACCGCAGGAGCGCCTGTAACTAGTGCACTGTTACCTGTAGTCTTACCAGGGCGTGACTGATTCTTAGGAAGGGCTTGCAAGCAATCCAGTTTACACAAAATTAGACAGAAGGTAACAGGTAATTAAAACTCACTAGCAGTGAAAGGAATTAAGAGACTGCCTGCATCGGTGACCTTGATGATGTTTTTTGAGTACTTAACTATCGGAGGTGCTCTAGAGGCTGCAACTGTGACATAAGCAGCATACCTTCTAGTTCTGTGTGGGAGGACAACAGCAATCTGAAATGACTGTGTGGTGAACCACACTGAAACTGAGCGTTTTGTCCTGTCAAAAGCTGAAGGCAGCTCAGACTGCTGTAATCTTGTTTGTCTGTCTTGCTAAACCAGTATTCTGTGGCCTGCAGTCAGCCTCTAGTCTTTAAAATCCGGAATGTCTTTGACAAATATTGTAGCATAATGCACAGAGAACAGCAGCCTCGGCTAAATGTGGCTGAATGTTACATAATACTCATGTTGTACCTGTCTTAAGTTGTGATTTTTAATATAGCTAATAGCATCCATGTAAGCTTACAAGGAGAAACAGATACTCTGCAATCCTAATAGGTTACTTCTGGCTTCTTTCAGGATGGCTGTCATTTGAGGGGATGTTACTCTTCTACACTGACTTCATGGGAGAAGTAGTGTTTCGAGGGAATCCAAAAGCGCCTCACAACTCAGATGAGTATCAGAAGTACAACGCTGGGGTCACCATGGGCTGCTGGGGAATGTGCATCTATGCATTCAGTGCTGCTTTCTATTCAGGTACTTTGTACAGCCATCTTAGCTGCTGCTGTGAGAAAGATGCACCCGCTCCTTAAGTGGCTTTCTGCAAGAAGTAGTCTGGCATTTATGTTGCGCATAGTCTGCCATGCAGCATAACTACTGAAGCAAAGCATTCTTTTTCACTGTGTTGTCTCTGCTAGCTAGCTTGGCCTGCACAGACAGCAGATGAGATTAGCAGTCCAGTGAAAATTTATCTCTGTTAGTATGTAGTTCCTTTTACAAAGTGGCATTTTCAATATATGTTGAATCCAGAAATACACACAGCCACCACAGGCACAGTTCTAGTGCAGCAGCACTTGGTGCCCTTGTGACCCTGGCAGAGCTCTCTGGCAGCATGCACGACCCCAGCACCTCGTCGTACGTGTCGTGCGTCTGCCCTGCCCCCTGCCATGTTCCCATTTCCCCCTATGGGACAGGGGCGCTGCCAGGCCTCAGCTCTGCTGTGCCCTTCACACAGGTAGGGCAGCAAGGCCGCGTTATAGCAGCAGGATTCGAAAGGGGTCCTTGGTGCTCACGCGTGAGCCGCCAGTTACTCGAAGTCTTAACGGTTGCTGCTGAGATGGGGCTGCCTAATGGCTGGGCTGCGGGGCCTGAAGGTGCACCCCTTGGCTCCACTAACCAGCGAGCAGCAGGGAGGACTACAGTTCACCCCGAGTGCTGTGCCGTTGTCTTGCAGCTGCGCTGGAGAAGCTGGAGGAGCGGTTCAGCACACGGACGCTGTACTTTGTGGCATATTTGGCCTTCGGGCTGGGCACGGGGCTGTCCACGCTCTCCAGAAATGTCTATGTGGTGCTGTCACTGTGCGCTACCTACGGCATCCTCTTCGCCACGCTCTGCACGCTGCCCTACTCCCTGCTCTGCGACTACTACCAGAGCCACGAGGTGAGCCCCGGGCTGGGGAGGGGAGAGGGAGTCCTGCGGCACCCCCTTACACTGTGTCCCCCACAGTTCATAGGCTCGCAGGCGGAGGGCATGCGGCGCGGGATGGGCGTTGACATCTCCCTGCTGAGCTGCCAGTACTTCCTGGCACAGATCCTCGTGGCCCTGGCCATGGGACCGCTGACGGCAGCTGTGGGCAGCGCCAGCGGCGCCATGTACTTCGCCAGCCTGGTGTCCTTCCTGGGCTGTCTCTTCTCATCCCTCTGCGTCACCTACGAGTCACCACCCACTGAGGAGCTGCCGCCCGCCGAGGAGCAGCGTCCGCTCTTGCCCCACACGCGGAATGAATAAACAGAAGCCGCCACAGCCTCTGCTGCCTCACTGCGTTGCCCTTGGTCTCCCCATCATGGTGCGATGGGCTCACACACCCCTGGGATGGCAGCAGTGGGCATGGCAAATGGCAAGAAGGTCTGTGCTGGCTTCACCAAGCTTTCCTCTGCCCATGGGAGGGCAAGGGGTGAGTCGGTGGCGCCTGGCACCAGTCATCAATCCCCTGAGGTGTCAAGGGCCCTTCTGTGACCCTGGGGCTGCAGCAACAGGAAGCAGCGGTGTCAGTGTGGGGCTGTTCTCTCCAGCTGCCCCGTCGTTCCTTGGGGGATGAGTGGCATTGTCCGGCCTGAGGCAGGGGACCTGAAAGTCTGGTGCCTGGGCAGGGCGGTAGTGAGCTGCGGGCACCGCTACTGCAGGAGCGCTGGGGCTGCAGCACTCCGCCAGCTGCGTGGGCAGAAGGTGCCATCTCATGGCCAGGGAGAAAGCCCTGGTCCTCGGTCATCGAGGTTAGTGGTGACTCTTGCGAGGCCTCAGGGAGCAGCAGGGCCAACCTGCAGGTCCCAGCCTCTGCCCATGGTAGACCCGGCTCTGGAGAGTGCTTTTGACAACTTTGGAAAGGCTGAGAGTGACTGATCTTGCTCAGGTGGTGTAAAGTGCTATGGCCAGGCTCCTGGGTGTGCAGAGCTCCCACCGGCAGAATTGCTCCACAGAGGCACTGTGGGGTGAAACCGCAGCGGCCTGGTTCCCAGACCTCACTCTGTAGGTTCTGGCTGTGGCCTACAGTGATGGTTGCTAATACGCATGTATTTCCTTCCACATTAGACTTAACTAAGACTACAAGGGCTTGTGATGATTTAGCAGGAGGATGGGTAGTTGTTCGTAACCCAGCTTTGGGGAGAAGGGTCTTTTTGCATGAATTGCCCTTGAGCAGAAGCTTACTCTCAAAGTTAGGTTGAGAATTTAATAAAAACAATTTGTGTGAAAGCCTGCAGCGCATCACCCATGCTTTTCATAAAGTTGTACCTTCTGATGTTTTAAAATCTGCATGGTGATTGGTGATTAAGTACTTTTCAGCTAGAGCTGCATCTTCTGGGTCTCACTGAAACTAGTAAAAGGGCTTTGGGTTTCATTATCTGAGAGAATTAATTATTTTGATTTTTGGAAGGTCATAACTGTGTGAGATCTCATAGAAATTCCAGTTAAGCCCAGGAGTCTTTTGAGAACCAAGATGACAACTGAAATCCAGTTAAAATTATTTCTGTGATCCCTGTCAGCCTGCATCTGTGTTTGGGTAGGCAGCCAAGGTTTACTGAGCCTGATGGGCATTTTGGTGTTTACGCGTGCTGTGCATGGCATTCTTGTAGAGGTTATTTTTGCTCACCTGATCCAGAAGGGTTTTCTCTGGAGCATCAGTCCTTTTAAATGAGTTGTACTTGACTGTTCACCTGTTTATTCTGATGCTTGATCTATGATGCCAAGATGAAATAACTTGTTTAATCTTTAGCCGTTGTGGCTTACTGTACTCCAGTGCTGCAAGCATAATGCACGACTTGTAAGAGCCTCTTGTTTTTATCCTCTGTCCCTGAGTATTACTTTTTTAATTATAATTTGAGAAGCAAGTTTCATGAGATTCAGTATTTACTTAAATGGAGGAACGCTACTGAAGTTACAAAGTCAAGCCCTCAGAGGTAAAGGACCGTCACACTGATGAGTCTATTCATCTTTCTTTTTTTCCTTTGGGCTTACGTAGTGTCATATCTGCAGGAGTATCTGTGATGTGCCGTTTCCTTAATTACAGAACAGCTGTCTCCAAGAATGGTCAGGATTAAACTGAAACAAAATAGCATGAGATACCGTACATTTGGCGCTTCTTATTTCTGACAATCTAAAGACTTGACTTTGGAGAATTTCTCTTTTCTTGTTGGTCTGCTGCGTAACCTTAATTTCCCTTCCTTATCGAACTTTTAAACTTAAATATTTTTTTTGGTCTCACTACCTAATGCAGTACTAGTTCTTAAAATGTTTTCTCCTCTTTTTAGCCAGCATTACTGCACTAGATGGATCTTGAGCACGTTCTTTTTCTAGGTAGCTGGAGTTCCAGATCATTTTGTTGCAAGCAAGAATCTTCAAAAGATTCACAGAATAGATGAAATCAATGTGTTTGGTAATGTTTGTCTCTGCTTCCATCTGTAAATAATATTATGAAATACATTTATGTATAGTTACAAAACTATTGCTATGCCCATATGCATTGTCCAATAGAATATATATTACATTTTCTATCTTACGGGATATGGACTTTATTTTGCGTATGTATTTATGTAGTGTTTACATACATAGTACTTTGAAGTCAGCATCAATGTATGTCATTTTGGGGCTCTGGGCAATACCGGTGGTGTCTGGAAAAAGCCCAGAGCATGCCACCATCACGCAGAGTTGGAAGTTACACCAAATCCGTAGAAATGAGGCACTGCTTACTTGCTTATTCTCTTCCTTTGTCATACAGCTTGTGTTTTACAAAAATTACTGTATGTGGTCACTGTTGAAATGTGAACTGCAAAGTGATGCTTACCTTTTGGAATCCAAATGCTTCAAATATTCTGTCTAAATCCGCAAGCTGCTGTTTAGAAGTAAGATGCATGAGTTTAGGCAGGAAAGTGATTTTATGCTGCGCTGTAGTTTAATCTCTTCAGCAGTGCCTAAAGGCTAATTTTGATTAAGTCTTTATCATTAAAAGTTGCTTGATGGCAATTATTTGTGGATGGTCATAAATGTATTTATAACACATACGCAGAAGTAGGGAAAATGGGGAGAAGGACGGAGAAAGCACCTAATAATTGTCTCGTGTTTCTAATTAAGCTAGCTGTAACCATTTCACTGTGTGTCTGCAGTTCACTTGACCTCTGCTGTGTCTCTCAAAAAAAGACAACTTACCGATTTTTGGAATTTCTGCTGTATCTTTGAATGAAGACAATAAGTCTTTTCAAGAATCAAATCGAGTAAAATTGCATGACTATATACAGAAAAAAAGGATATTGGGAATTATTTGGAAAGAGTTGTCTAGACAATTTATTTCCTACTAACAAGTTGTTAGTCATCTTGTACTCTGTAGATTTTATTAAAAAAATATTCTGTCTTTGGGTAAAAGGTGGCTTTCCTAATGTAATGTATATTCTCCCTCCCTCAGACTGAAAGACAGGGAGAGATTTTTTAGATGCCATTACCATAACAACGCTCAGTGAATTGCTTTAAGTACAGTAAACATCTTGAGAATTCTATGACTGCTGGAGCTGAAATGCCAAGGGCGATCTCCAGCATCTGTTTAATTTATCTAAATTGACATTTTTCATACTGCTGGTCGTTAAGACGTAATGATTCATTTAGCCTAGCTTTTCTGCTGGGAAGGTTTTTGTTGATGTGCACTAATGAAATGACTGCAGCCACTTTCCATTGCAGTTCCTCTGGGCCAGGCTGCTGCTTCTATAGCAGGGTCAGTGGAAGGGAAGGTGCTAGTGAGAGTGTGCCTTTGTTTAATGTGGCAAATTTCAGGCTGCAACACTCAAGACAACAGCAAAAGTTGTAGGGCAGCAGCAGGAGGACAGACTAGAGTTCTTTTACTAGAATCCTTAGTTTTGTTGGTTTCGCTGTCCATGCTGTCTCCTAATGGTCTGAAGGTTCTGGGAAGGCAGTGTTCTACACTGTATGAGTTCTTTGTGTTAAAAGCTGTGCCAACGTGCTCTCCCTCTCATATATCCCGTGTGGAAATGCTAAGTGCATGGAATAATGAGAATTTTTAGTGTATGCAGCTTATGCCTAATGTCCCCACCGAGTGGTATCCAAGGAGTTTTACTTTAGATCTGAAAGGCAACAGCATAGTCCAGTACCCAAGTAGCACTGATAGTTAACAGTAAACAAAGGGGAGACTGCTTCATCAGCTTGCCCAGCCTATGGAATACAGAAGTTTTCCTGCAGCAGGAAGAAAGCAGGCAACGAGTAATGTTAATCAGATGAATTCAGATGTGAAGCATGCACAGAGTAGGAGTCTGCAGACCGAGGAGCAGGCTGCAATGGGGATGATGCAGTATTCACCATGTATATAAGCTGTATGTCAGCTTTTTTGTTTTGTTTTTGCTTTTTCTAGGATCCAGTGATAGCTTTCTTGAACAAGGATAACAAATTTTGTTGCAGTAGCCAATGGAATAGCCAACAGAGGAATCACAACAGCGGAGCAGAAATGAAGATTTTGGTTTGTGTGAGTACAGCGCTAACCAAGCTTATGAGAGCTACTCAAACAATAAGGCATTTAACAGTATTGCTATCAAATGCTAGGAAGAATTATGATGTTAGAGATTTGAGCTTCATCTGTATATTTCTGTGTTAGCTTTTCCTGTGCAGCAGCCTGATGATACTCTACTCTGCTTCTGGCTTACGTTTACTCCTTGTATGCAGGTTTTACAGCAACTATTTGAGAATCATGCTTTAAAAGCTCAGTAAGCCTTTTTTTTTTAAAAAAAAAAAAAAAAAGCTTGGGCTGTCCTGTACTGCTGCACAGTACTCTGCATCTGTGCAGAACCGTCCACTGGCAGGATTGAGTTTACTGTGGCCTAGAGGCTGCGTATTGTTGCACAAACTATTCTTGTGATCCATGTGCAACAGTTCAGGAGCCTAAGAAAGTTACTTGTTTGGTCCATGAAAAGAGACCTATCACTTGCACAGACAACAAAAAGGTAGGTGAGGAGAAACACCCTCTCTTCTGTAAATCCCCTCTGATCGGTTGCACGTTGTTTCTCAGTGTAGCAGATGCCTTAGCGGGGGACTTATGAGAATAAGCAGGGCAAGAGAAAAGCCGAGAGGAGCCACTGTGGAAAGCTCGACTTCAGCACTGCCGGACTCTTCACGCTTCCTTCATTTACCTGGTGTCTAGCATGACTAACCCATCTGCATTACAGAGTGCTCCTGTGGCACTTCAGTATGCAAAAGGACACGAAAGCAACCGCTTTACTGCCTTTTTTATGATTGTAAGATGCTTTATGTAATAACAAAGTATTTTTCTTAATAGAAAACCACTAAACTATCAAAAAAACCATTACAGACCTCCCTTCTTGTCTTTGAAGCAGAAAGCTCCAGAAAGGGAAAGCTGTGTGGTATCTTTCGACTACAATAGGAAGAACAAGTGCAGATGCAAACCTTTACCTCTGAAGCAAGAAAACAGAGTAAGCTAGAGAGGTCCTAGAAACTGTGTACCAGTCACCATTTTAGAGAAAACATGACCTCATACGTATCAAATATATGGAAGGGGGGAGGGTATTAGAAAAGCAGTACCACCTTTCACAGTCTCATCCACTCCAAACAGTATTTTTTTGATCACTGAATCTTTCATCCGTAATCAGAAATAAAACCACCCATTTTCAGTATTGTGATGTTAAAAGGAAGCAAGATCCCTTCTTAAGAGTGTTTTGTCTGTTCTTCTATTGGGGTGGTTATGCTACAAGCCTTATCAGGATGCAAAACTGAAAACTTGTCCTTGCCCGATCTCTGTTCGTGTAAGAGTTGTGCCAAAGGAAACCCCAAAAAGCAAGAGCTGTATCTAAGGTAGGAGAGGCTTCAGTGGATTTCTTGCTTCTCAGGATAGGGTCAGCTATGTGATGAAGCAGTAACTCGTTATCTCACTCCATGCAAACTCCATTCCCTCTTTACCCAAGACTCCAGAAATCTTTCCCTTCTGCTCGTAAATTGAACAAATAGACCCAGAACCTCTCTGTAAAAACTAAACAAACGCAGCTGCAATCCCACTTTCATTTGTCTGTGCCAGGCCTCTCCTGGACCACTGGACTGTCCTATTAAATCAGAGTCAGGAGTCAAAACACTTGATGAGTGCAGCTGGCAAATGGAAGCTGGCACTAGTCAGGCCATTGCTGCAGAAAGCGAAATGCTAGAGCTAATAACGTGCCTTTAGGAAAAGCTGTACGTGCCTCCTAGAATAGTTCCATACCCACATTATAGTAAGAAAACCCCTTTTATATTTGCTGCACCCAATCTGGCAGCAACACTAATTTTTTCAGAGCGGAGTCTGGAGAGAGTAGCACACACAGAATGCAGAGTGTGCAAATGACACTTTAATGCGGTCAGGTACCCTGAGGGCAGGGCACAGCCGCATCCGGGCGGGCCGGCGCTGTCCTGGGCACCTCGGCAGCCCCTCGCCCGGGGTGTCTCTCAGGATGTGTCGCCGGGCCCGGGTGAGACGTCCGCAGCGGGCAAGACGGCCTCCTGCGCTCGCCGCCGCAGCCTCTCGGCGCCGGTCACCGTCATGG